TGCAAGTACATTATCCATATCCTGGGCATCTTGTGCATTGTAACAAGAGCTCTTTCAAACGTATTGTTAAGGGTGTCATACTTGGGGTGAGTAACGGGTAGATTTCTAACAATTTCAAGGCGTTCTCGCAGATACGCATGCCATAGCTTGTAGCTACCAGGAAGAGCTTTAAGTGCGCGTTCATAGATTATGAAACGGTTACTGCAGGGAGCTTCTGACTTAGCAATCAGATATCGCCACCACAACTTCAGACTAAAAGGGTTGCGTAAGATCTCCTCCTCGTAGGGGAGGTCCTCTTGAGATGGGTAAAGTTCTTTTGAGATCGACATGAGAGCAGAAAAAAAAAAAGCCCTAAAACCTTCTCAGAAAGGTAGAGATACTGACCTGGTCGAAAATTAGGAAACAGAGATTCACTTCCCCAGACGCTTAAGCCCTAGCGCTGCCGTCGCACATGGTGGTGCAAATCCGAGATGAAAACGAAGGAATAAGGTCGGCTAAGGACAAAAACGAAATCGAGGGGCCAAAGGAGAAACTAGACGTGGAAATCCCTAATGAGAAAAAAAAAATAGAGGACTCTACAGGCTTTTCGGTCGTCGTTGGTGAGATTTCTCTGGCGGGGCTTTTGATTTTTGTGTTCTTCACAAGAAACGTTATTTTCTTGCTCAAAACATAAAACAATGGCGCCTGCTTGATGCACTGCTCAAAAGTCCAAAATATCCTTCCCCTGCATGTTCAAATTTCAGAATCAAGAATGACAAAATGTTAATTTCGTTAATGATTCTTTCTGTATATTCTATTTGTTGTTAACTAGGTGGTCGATCGCTGAGAGTTGAGAAGCCGAAACGGCACGAGACGATGGAGAGCACGTGGAAAATGATTACGGAGAAGAAGGATATGCCGTTATCGAGGCACCTGAAGAAATCAAAGATGTTCGAGGACACATGAGAGAATTAGGTGAACGTGGATTCGCTCGCTGAGCCGTCGCCGGTGGTGAAGAAATCGGAAACGTCCAAGGACCAGACCAATTTCCAGATGTCACCGGTGCAAGTGAGCTCGTCCCCGGCTTCAGTATTGAAGCTGAGTCAGGACGAGTAGAATCGACGAGTTGAGGCATTTATAAGAAGTTCAACGAGAAGATGAGGTTGTTGAGGTTGGAATCGCTTAATCAGTACCAACGAAATGATTAACCGTGGAAACCACTATATTAACCGAGGAGTAATTACGAGTACTAATTTTTACTAGTATCATATAGAGCAGATAAAGTATGTTTTCGCCTTTTTGGGTAGGGATGGCAATTTTCTCCGTTCCCCATCCCCATTACGGGGATGAGACAGGGAGGAATATTTTTCTCTGTGGAGTAGGGACGGGGATCATTTTTTTCCTTTGAATTTTTTTGGGGATTTTTTCCCTTCCGTTGGGGCCCGTTGGGATTTCTTTTCTTCGAAAAAAAATATATATTTTAAAATTAATTTATTCTTTAAATTTAAACCCAAAACCCAAATTCAAACTCAAACCCAAATCCAAATTTAATCCAATTACAATTAAATTTAACCTAATATTATCCAACTCAACCCAACTCCCAACCCAACCCATTCCCCTACATTTAACCCAAACCCTAATTTATTTTAATTCCCATCACTCAATCTCTTTAACTGCAGCTTCACACATCTCTCGCGTCCATCTCACCTTCAGTTTCCCTGCTGTTGCTGCTGCTGCCACCGGAGCCATCTGCTGTTGCTGCCGGACCATATGCTGCTGCTACCATCAGACCCATCTGCTGCTGCTGCTGTTGTTCAGCCAAAGCCATGTGCTCTGCTGCTGCTGCCGGCTGCCACCACCGGACTCATCTGCTGCTGCTGCTGCTGCCGCTAAACAGCCAAAGCCATCTGCTTTGCTGCTGCTGCCAGACCCATCTGCTGCTGCTACCGCCACCGGAGCCTGCTGCTGTTGCTGCTACCGCCACCGGAGCTTGCTGCTGCTGCTACCGCCACCGGAGCCTGCTGCTGCTACTACCGCCACTGGAGCCTGCTGCTGCTGCTACTGCCACCGGAGCTTGCTGCTGCTGCTACCACCACCGGAGCTTGCTGCTGCTACTACCGCCACCGGAGCCTGCTGCTGCTGCTGCTACCGCCATCGGAGCCTCTTGCTGCTGCTGTTGCTGCTGCCGAACAGCCTAAGCCATCTGCTTTGCTACTGTTGCCGGAGCTACTTGATGTTAATTGGTGGGGAATGGGGATCCCGCGGGGATCCCCATTCCCCGTGGGAAACGGGGATGGTGAGCAAAATCTGCTCCCGTCAAAAATCTTCGCGGGAATCTCCGTCGCCGTGATTCGCGGGGACAGGGATGGGAAGGGGTCCCCAGCCCCGCAGGGCCCCGTTGACATCCCTACTTTTGGGAAAGAGAAAAACATATTATTAATTCCAAAAAAACAAAGGGGAAAAGAACCGGAAATATGTTAATTAATTTTTCTAATTTTGTTTTCTCCAATAGGTTCAACGTTGGAGTTATTAGAAAAAAAAAGAAAGTCTTGAAAATTTTTTCCTTTTTTAACTTGGATTTCATAAGCAGATGTGGTTTGAAAATTAGTAAGATCATAGAAATGTTTGTAAATGAATATAACTAGTATATATATGAGTGAAATGATGTTGCTTACAATTATTTCATTGATATATTTATTTACAGCATATTGTTTTGTAATTTTATTTTATTTTATTTTATTTTTTTGAACAATGAAAAATTTTTTTCGGAGAAAAAAAAAGAAAGAAGAAGAGGAATCTGAAATTAGAATCCAAATCTTAATAGTTCTAAACACATCCTGCAATGAGGGGCAGCAAGCGCAAGTGCTGGACGTTTTGTAATTTTAATTACTTTGCATTATAAAATACAAAGCGTATCACATTAAGAGGGTCTCCTTGCATCTGGGAGGCCTGTCCGAGCTATTGGTTTACATTATGCACTGTAACTATATAACACTTTTTTCAATTTATTTATGTTATATATATATATATTTTTTCAATTTTTGAAAGAACTTTTCATTTTTTAAATACATTAAATTTGGACATAAAGTTAAGAACAATGTATTTTTATTTTTTTAAAAAAAATTAATACATATTAAGTAAAAGGAGATTGAGAAATGAAATTTGTAGAATTCAAATACATAACCTACAAGAAATAATCTATGTTAACTTAAGATCTAAACCACTAGATTGAGGTATGAGATCAAAATAATATATTTTTTTGGGGCTAAAAAGAACAATATTGTGATCTCCATCCCCTTTTTTTTTTTATAATCGATCTTTCCCATTATTTACCACGTAATAAACCTTTATTAATTAATGTTATCAACGTAGACAAACGGAAAATAAGGTACAAGAAAAACAAATCGGGCTTAAAAAATTTTTTATTTTGAAAAACAAAATTGGGCTAAGAAAGCCCAACAGGAAACCTAAGCTTCTCCATTCCATTTGAACAGGCCCAATTCCAGAACCCAGACTAAATTGAAGAAAGCGAAACGGCGCAGTTGAATTTACGACAAAGAAGAAAGGGAAAAAGTTAGCCTTTCTCCTTATTTATTTACTTATTTTTTTCAAAAAAATACATTTTGAATTTAGAAAAATCTGGAATTGGACACGGGTAGAGAGAAATCCATGCTAAATAGGAAAAGGAAGAACCTGGAAATGAAGAAAAAGTCAATGGAAAGAGGAGAGATGCAGAAAAACACAGTAGCAGTACAGGAAGGGAGGATGAAGAAACTAAAGAAGGGTGGAAGAAATTTGAGAGTTGAAATTCGTCACTGTAAAAGGTACAGTTTCTGTTCCATTTTGCTTGCTTCTTTAATTAATGAAGTAGATTTATAGTTGATTGGGTTGGCATGATATTTGAATTGGGCGTAATTTTTTAATTTGATCTTTAATGCTGTTTGTTTATGGTTTCGTTTAGAAGGGAAAGTACACATAATTCATTCTAGAAATTAGAGACTTGTAATTGCACCAAATCAGAAGTCCTTCTTCAGTCCGCGCTTGCACTCCGAGATGACCTGCAAAGCCCCGAGGTGGAACTCGGGGTAGACACTCCGATGCTTAAGTCAGCAATAATCGGGACTACCTTTAAGGCGGAGATAAAAAGAGCTTAGGGTTGGTTTCAATTACCTTTTTGACGTGGCCCGGGGGGGTATTTATAGGATCCAATGAGGAACCCACGTGGCATGCCAAGCAAGATAATCGGAGCTTGATGTGTCCATCCAGACGATTATTTCGGGACCGGGAATTTGAGAGGTATTCAGATACACGGATGTCCACCATACTTGCTGTGCCGCTCGTCATAAGGAATCAGGTGCGGGCATGCTTATTGTCATTATCATGTAGCTATTTGAGCGGGAAGCTTTGGATTTATTCCTTACTTCGGTCATAAAGGAATTATTGTAGCAGTCCGAGGCTTGGCACCTCGGACCTGTCTTTACACTATTCCCCCCCCGAAGTCATTCACTTGTGAATGATGTTGCTGGGGATGATGAGGGGAGTGTATGAACAAAGAGGATACAGATAAATCATAGAAGTAAAAGGAAGAAATAAAATTTGTAATTCGAATACATACATAGTTGTATGCGATAAGAAGAGAGTGTGACCAGAGTGATCGTGGCCGTAGCCATGGTAAAAATAATGACTGGAGTCAATGTGGCCGAAGCCAGAATAAGAGATGATGACCGAAGTCATGGTGGCCGGAGCCATGATAAAAAATGATGACTGGAGTCATAATGTAACCAGAGCCGTGATAATAAACGATAACCTGAGTCATAGAGGCCGAAGCCGTGATGGAAAATGATGACCGGAGTCATACTGGTCGAAGCCATAATAATAAAAAGATGATGACCGGAGTCATAATGGCCGGAGCCGTAATAAACTATAATGACCGGAGTCATAATGGCCGTAGCCGAGCTAGAATATGTGACATGTAGTCACAGTAACCAGGACCGAAGTAAAACATGTGTTCTCTGTGGCCTGAGCTGAAGTAAAACAGTTAAAAAGTATAATTGTATAAGTAAACAGAAGTGCTGAGTTAGGCTCAAGTATAAAGACGGGAGTCAAAATGGCCGGGGCCATAATGAAATATAATGACCGGAGTCATAATGGCCGTAGCCGAAGTAAAATGTGATATTGGATTACTGTGGCTGAAGCTGAAGTGAAATGTAATGCATGATTATTGTGGTTGAAGCCGAGGTGAAATACTTGCATAATTGAGAATATGCAAAAGTGAACAGAGGTGTTGAAATGGGCCTAAGTGGGCCGTGTAAAAATACTGACATAGGTGTGACAGTTGTCCTTGGAATGACGTGCGCAATAAATGCGGCCGTAAAAAGATAACTGCAACAGTTAAACGGGCAAAGTTTAAAAAACGAACCGTCAAATTTAAAACGGTACCGTTTGGGATTGTCCGTTGAATGCCAAACGGTGTCAACAGGAACCGTAAGATTAAACGAATCCCAGCCGTTGAGATCTAATTTTGCCCAGAAGTATAAATAGGCATTTTTTTTTTCTGTAGAAAGAGGTTTACTTGCATTTCTTTTCCTGCGAAACTTCTGCGAGAAGCTTTACTGTGTGCTTCCTGTGCGTGAACTGCAGCGTCAACTGGGGAACTCTACATCAAGTCTTTCGAAACCAAAATCAGGTAATGTAGACGAAACTATGATTTTTGAGTTAATCGAAGTGTCTTTCTCCTTTCTCCCTTTCTGTGATTGATTCAAAGTCCTCTGAAGGAAGTTAGGGTTAGAGATGAGAGGGATTTTGAATGTGCAATGGAGGTTTTTTATTCTCTTTTTTTTTTTAAAAAAAAAAAAGGGTCCTGACTTCATTCCTCCCCCCTACTTCGTGCAGAGTTTGAGAAAATGTCCTCAGAAGGAACAGAGAGTGTGATTGGGAGTGAGGTGATGCCTTTAGATTATGGGAGAATGGGCTCAGAGAGTAGTCCATCCCCATCTAGTTCGAAGAAGACGGTGGAGGGGGTGAGAGGGGATGAGGTGGTGGAGGTTAGGAGGAACGAGGTGGTAGGGGTTGAGGGAGATAGCATACCCATCACCGTAGTAGAAGTAGAAGGTAGGGGGAGAGAGAGATTATGATGGGAATGCAGAGATAGTGGAGGAGGTGAAGCAGTACCGATCTGAACTAAGGACCAGGGATGACCTGGGTCACTTAGTAGAAACGTACGAGATCTCTTCTTGCGTGTTAGTTAGGCCAGTTGGGGTAGAGGAGAGGGCGTGCTCTGCTCCTCGGGATCACTGGATGCCTGTGTATTCCCACTATTTGATAGCGGGACTCAGGTTTCCACTTCCTGAGTTGCTAATAGGTTTACTGTTAGATTACAACATAGGGTTGACACAGTTGGTCCCCAACTCAATGAGGGTAATAATAGGTTTTTTAGTTTATTGCCGAGCTCAGGGGATTAGTGTGCCAACTGTAAATATGTTTAAGTATTTTTTTGTTTTGAAAGGAGGAAGTATGAGGGATAAGGGGTGGTATTATTTCACCCCTAGGGTAGCTAAGAAGGAGAGTAGGATTTTATTCACTGCGGGTCCTTCATCCATTAAGGGATGGAAGGAAAAATTCTTTTTTGTGGATGACACGGAGTGGGGGAAAGGGGATGCCGAGGTGAGGGCGTTAGCCTCCTGGAAGGCCAAAAGGGCCAACCAGAATAAGTTTAGCTTAAATGAGGATGAGGAGGAAGAAGTGAGGAAGTTGGTGAGGAAGGGGGGAGATGTGTTGAATATCATGGACCTCACCAGCGCAGCATGCATAGAGGCTGTTGAGCTCTATGGGCCAAGCGCTCTGAGTGAAGGTTTGTTTGACATATACTGTAGCGTTAAATGTAAAACATAGAATTGTGACTAATATTGTGTTTCTTGCTTTGCAGCTGAAATGGATCAATTTTTGAACACTGCTGAAGGAAAGGCTATCCCCAAGAAGCTAAGGAAGAAGTCAAATACTTCAACCAAACAAGTGGATGAGGGGAGGTCCAGGAAGGAGGCAGTGCCTGCGGCGTCAGCTGAGACGGAGGAGGAGGTGCCAGCGTTGAAGAGGAAGGGCAGGGAGGAGAGGAGGGCATTGCAGAAGAAGCAGAAGGTGGTGGAGGAGGAGAGGGGGAATGAGGTCCCTGTGTTCGTACCTCAGCCTCCTCCTGTTGAGCTAAACCCTGAGCTCAGACAGTTGGAGGAGGGGGCTGACGTACGAGCTCCTGGTAAGGGAAAGGGCCCTATTCCCCCGTTGGGGCCTCAAAGCAGCCTGTTCGAGGCGAATAACATGACGGGGGCTAGGTGGTTCATCAACAACACCTTCCTCGAAGTGGACCAAAGCAACGCGCGGGAGGAAGCTCTGAGGTATGGTGGAGCATCCGTGGTGAAGCACGTTCTAGAGGTATGTTAAAGTAGTGGTGTTGTGCA